CTGTGAAAATATAGAGAAAAATTCAACTAAAATAATTAATAACATACTTAAAAATACAAAGATCTAGTTAGATTTGATAATATTAAAACTAATAATGATCTTATTACAGAACTAGACTTTATTAAACAAACTATTCAAAATTATTTTTTTAACTGGACTACTCTTTGACTAATTAATATAAATATTTTTAATAATAGCTAGATTATAGAATATATATTCAAACTAATATTCAAACAAACTAGTACTCAGATACTCTCTAACTAATATTAATTGAAAAAGTTCATTAAACAATTTGTTAGCTCTCAAATAGTAAGGCTTGTAAACTATCTGGAATCAGCTATGAAATGTTCAAATATGCAAACATTCTATTCCTACAACTTATTACTAAACTTTTAAACCAATGTATATTATAATAGCAAATTCCTTAACAATAAAAAGATGACTATATTTTTTTAATATCTAAAAAACTATTATTTGATAAAAATCTTTTAAATAAAGACTAATTAGTTTAATTAAACATGTTAAAAAACTTTATACCAAACTATTAACTAATTGACTTATTAAAACTTTAACAAAATATAATATACTATTATTTTTTAATTATATTATATTGTCAGGTAATAGTACTAATATATCTATTAATATTCTAAACAATATTATAGAAGATACAACATACAATAAAAAAGAATTATAGCTTCTATCTTAGGACATGAGCAAGGTATATGACTCAGTCAACTTTGATTTCTTCAAATTAGCTTTTCAAAAAATTCAATTCTCAGAATCTCTTATCAATATTTTAACTAACCTTCTTCTTAACTGAACAAACAAAGTTATCACTAATTTTGAACTCACAAATTCATATTAGATTCTAAATAGTATTGATCAAGGAGAAACAATAACTCTACTTTTTTGGCAAATTTATTATAATTCTCTTATAACAAAAATTGCCAAAGAAATAAAAAGATATCAAATATTTACAACATAGTCAGAAAATATATGACAAACTAAATCAAATAGAATTTATGCTAATACATCAATTTTAGTATATATAAATAATATATTATGAATTGCAAAGTCTATATTACAACTCAATGAAACAATTAATATTACTATATCTTTCTTCCAAATAGCAAATATTCAAGTGAATCTTAACAAATCTATTTTGATTTTTAATACCATAGACTTTTATAGCATTCAATTTATTAACTCTTCTATTATACTAATTTCAATAAAAACACTATTCAAATTTCTTGACTGCTGATTTACTTTAAACAACAACCAAAAAGCTCAAATCAATTTAATATCTAAAGAAGCTTTCTCTCTTTCTGATATTTTAAATACAAAAAATATTACAGACAAACAAGCTAGTTATATTATTAACAAAGTTATTATTCCAACTCTAGAATACTGAATACAAAATATTGTTATTCTTTTAGCAATATGCTAAAAAATTTTATCAATATACTTTATAGTTGCTAAATATAAAGCAAGTTATTTTTTTTTTTTTTTTAAAACCCTGATACTCACATCTAAGGGTACGTATAGCACTCATTTATTAATTTTTATTTTAACTAATATATTGTAAGAATTTACATAAATTTCTTTTTGCTTTAGAAGGAAACCTTTTCAAGCTTGTCTGCAGAGATTTAACCTCCTTATTTAAATGATGTTTAACTAAACTCAAAATACCTCATAACTTTAGATGTTCTTCTCCCTATTTAGTTTTTGTATATTGATACTATATTTTATAGATCATGTTTACATGTAGCCATGTTACTGCTTTTAGGCTTTCTTTGTTATTTATATTTGTAGCATTAAAGACTTCTTCTAATGTCTTTGGAGGATGTTCTCTAAATTCTGAAGTGAGGAAGGAATATGCTAGTTTCCATATTTCCTAGCTTACTCTACAACTAAGCATGAAGTGTTCAAGAGTTTGGAGTTTCTCAGTACACTACATGCAGTTGCCTATTTCTTCTGAGCTTATGTGTTATAAGCGGTACTCTAAGGGGAGAGCTCTATAAAAGAGGCGCTAGGTAATATCCTTTTTTTTATTCTCTATTGACTTTGTAGAAAGCTAGCTATTCCGTAAATTTCTATTGTCTTCTGTGTTAGGTGTTTCAGCTGGTTTCCCTCTCAAAGATTCTATTAGCTTCTTTACTGTTATCTCTGTTCATCTGTATCCTCCTATAGATATATTTATTAGATGCTATAGCCAGTTTGTTGAAGCTTCAATTATTCCTTTAACTCTTTTCCAAGCAAGAATATGTAGTTTCCATTCTGTAGGCCAGGCTGCTGATTTTACTAGAGCTTCTTTTAATGCTTGTAGCACTATTGTATTTCTTTTTTCTTTTAGAATTTTAATAATTCTTTCTCTCTCGAACTTGGTCCATAGAGAGTTTCCTATTAAAAGTTTTTGCCAAATTGTTAGTAATCTTGTATCTAACATATCTTTCATAATTAGAGCTTCTAGTCCTTGTTGGTCTGATGGTAATTGGAAAGTTGAGTATTTAGATAGCATTCTTGAGGTTCCTTTTATTCATAATGTAATTAGCCTGTTGATTTCTGCTATTTGCTTTCTATTTGGTAGTAGTAGATATGCCGTATACCAGATTTTTGAAATAATTAGTACTCACAGGGATTCCTCTAAGCTTTTTTTCTAGTTGCAGTAGTATAGGTTCAATTGCTAGAACATAAAGAAGAGGTGAAAGAGGATCTCTCTGTTACACCCCTCTTTCTACTCTAAATAGCTCAGACATATTATTCCCTCCAACTATATGGGCTACTTGGTTTAAAAAGAGGTTTTTGACTAAATTGACTAGTATAGAATCGAAATTCATCTTCTTCAGTACTATTTCTAAAAACTTGTAGTTTACTCTATCAAATGCTTTCTGTTGATTCACAAAGAGCATCCAATGTTGTTAGGAACTATCATTTTAATTCCTCATCGTTGAAATAATATCAAGAGCTGTGTCAGTTATAGATATGTTTCTAATAAAACCTTGCTGGTAGCTTGGAATTATAGAATCACAGATTAGATTTAATCTGTTAGCAATAATCTTTATAAAAATCCTTGCATCACAATTCACTAATGAGATCAGTCTCCAGTTATTCAAGTTATCCAATTCTTCTGATTTCTTTGGAATTAGTATAATCAAATTCTTGTACTAGGAGTTTGGCATATTGCCTGAGGTTAGGACTCTATTAAAAAGATTTTTCAGAACAGGTATTATTGATTCCTCTGTAAGTTTATAAAACTCATAAGTGAGACTATCTATTCCAGGAGATTTATTATTTGGAAGCTTTTGAATAACTCCTGAAATTTCTTCAAGCGTTATTTCTTTAACTATGTTTCTGTTTAGCTCTTGTGATACTTGTAGAAAATCTTGTGTAATAGTATCTACTACTTCTAAACTGATTATATCCTCTTTATATATTTTCGAGAATTGTTCTTTAATATATTGAAGGATGTCCTGAGTATTGTTACTTGGGTCTTTGATTTCCATATGAGCTATATGAGATTTTCTTTGTTTATACCTTGTGAAAAAATATTTTGTTGATTTTTTACTATTTTTTACCTATTAAACCTTAGATCAAATTTGCTACTTTTCTGCTAAAGAGGAGAGTTCATCTTGCAGCTTAATATTGAGCTCATCTAGAGAGTTAGCTAGAGATTCTGTATTAGTTGAATTTGCTATTCTTTCACTTAGCTTTGTTATCTCTTTGTTGAACTTTTCTATTTTACTTTCTAAGATTTTTGGTTTTCTAAATGCTCTCATGATCGATTGCAAATAGATCTTGCAAAGATCTCAATTTTCTGAAGATTTGGCTTATTAATCTCTTCTAGAACTTCTTTTTTTAGCTTTTCATTATTAAACATCCTCTTGTTGAATCACCAACTTGTTGACTGCTCCTGTTTATGACCAAAGCTAAGGGAGTAGCTAACTAGAAGGTGGTCTGAGTTACTGAAGTATGTAGAGACTTTGGAGATCAGGTGTGAATAGTTCTCATCAATAAAAATATAGTCTAAACATATTGCTATCATGTTATCACATTGTGTTTTTCTGATGGAATGTAAGGAATGGATTAGCACTAGCAATCTCTGCAGAACTTGTAAAGTTTCTTGTTAGCTCTAACAGTTGACTTCTTGAGGGATCTGGTTGAGCTAATGCCTAGTTGATTCTGTTAACTTCTAGCTTTAGGTTCGTATTAAAATCCCCTGCAATAATATTTATTGCATTTTCCTTGATATGTAATATCCAATTATTGAAAAATGTTATTCTATTACTAATACTTGGAGGTGTGTATATATTAGTAAGCTAGAATAGGAATCCTTTATAATTGCAAGATATTGTAATAATTTGTCCTTCATAGTCTATTTCTATATCGCTAAAGGTGATGTTTTTGTTCTTAGCTAGGATAGCTGTTTTGTCTGACCAAAGTGAATCGTATATCCATTGATTCTTTAAGAACTTCTATGTATTTTTATTATTAAGATTTGTTTCTTGTATCATTAATAAATCTAAGTTATAGGATTTTAAAAATGTTAATATTTTCTGTTGTTTGCCTCAATCATTTAGTCCTTTTATATTCAGTGTCACAATTTTGATTTTGTATTTCAGAGGCATGTGAATACAAAGGTAATCTTGATCTAATTAGGTCTGAGAAGAAAGCCTCTCATTTCATTGTTTTTTGTAGGGGCTAGGTCTGGATTGGTTCTTATTTTACACATTTTTTCCTTTTTTGTTTTTGTCTTTTTTCTGAGAGGTTGTAGACTGCTTCTCATTATTGATATCCATTTTAGGTATTACCTCAGCTGCACTTTTAGTTCCCAGTGCTAGTTCTGTAATAAAACCTAAAGTAGTTAGTTCATCACAGAGTGCTAGCTCTAAGTCAGCAGGAGAATCTTCTTTTTTTTCTTTATCTGAAAATTCTTTGTTATCCTCTACCTTCTGAACCAGAGGAGTAGGGTTAATATTTTTTTCTTGTGTAAAGATTTCTTTTTACAAACCCTTCTTTTTTTTGTTATATGGAGTGCTTGAAACAGGTTTGTTCTCTGCTAAGTCCGAGGTTTCAGCTAATGAGGAATCTTCTATTTCATTATCCTCTACCTCTGAATTCTCATAGCTTTCTTTGCTATAAAATTTGTTTCTTTTATAGTCTTGGTATTGTTGTCATAAGGCAACAAATTCTTGAAATGAGTGACATTCTTTTTTGATATACTCTTCTTTTTCACAGAAGTAACATACTTTGGCTGCAGATTTCCATTCTGTTGTGACTTTGTTGTCTCAAATATGGGTAAATCTGAGAATCTTGTCTTCCAAATAAGGATCCTCTGTAGTTTCAAAAATCAGGATCTACTGATCTGTCATATAAGGTGTTTCCTCAATTAACAGAGGTTTAATTGATACGATTTTTTCTATATCTTTAAAGACTTCTTTGATTGTAGCCGATAAGGCCTCCTTATTGCCTAATAGGATATTTCTAATCTTGATTGGTAAGAAAGATTTTCTTATATCTATTGGGATATACCCATAGTATGTTTTGTTAAGAATAGTGATCACTTTTATAGTATAGTACTTTAATTTTTCTTGATCTGTAAAAATTATTTTAAGATGAGTACGTGACCCCTTAGTGAAGTATTGTTTAGCTGCAATTATATTATATTTTATGTTCTCAAATAAAGAAATCATAATTTCATTAAAAGAACATTGTAAACTCTATATATCAATAATAAGAGTATTTTCATTCTTTGATCTGATTGTGTTCCTTAGAGAGAAGGAAGAGTAAGTTGACTAGCCTCTTTTAAGTTTAGGGAAGAGACTTGTCTATTTCTAGGTGTTGGTTTAGAAATTTTATTAAAGTTAGAGCTAGAGCTTTCCCCTATTCCTAGCTCTTTTTGTCTATCAGCTTCTGAGTTACATGTTGTTGTTTTGTTCTCTCGTTCTTTGTTACTATCTTGATTGTTGTTTTTTTCTGTATGTATTATTATATTGTTATTGTCTTTTTCTAGATATAGATTTTTCTCTTTTGATGTGTCTGTTTTGATTTTTTCTCTAGTATTTGATAAAGTGTTAGTTACTTCTTTAAGCTTCCTAGCTTCTTGGTTTACTTGTTCGTCCTAGCTAGAGTTGCTTGTACTTAGGTATTCTGAAGGACTTAAATTAGATTTTTCATCTTGTAGAAGCTTTGAGTTGTTGTTGTTCTCTTTACCAAAGTCTATATTTTTTTTAGTTTTTTGTTATTTTTTTGGCATTTTCTGTTTCACTAAACTCTTCAAAAGATCTTTTTCTTGTAACAAGAGCAAGTGCCTTTGTTTGGATACCTTTTTTAGATTTGTTTATCTTGATGTTAGAATTTATTTTGCTAAATAGTTATTCCTCTACTCCAAAATTTATATGGTCTGGAGAGAGTGTATGTAGATCTTTTTTTAAAGCAAGTTATTCTAAAACACTCTTTAATAGTACTATGTTTAACTACTATATTTATGGTTTTAAAAATATCTAAAATATTCAACTATAATACCATATAACTAACTTTTTATCACGACTTAACAATTCTGATTTATTAGGATTATCTACTCAAATACAAGTCTAAAAACTTCAAAACAATTTATAGTCTACTATAAATTTACTTCAACACTCAAATTTACTGATTGATGGATTTAATAAATATACAACTACTTGCAAAATTATTAAACTTCTTAATCTATTAAATATAGTTATTACTTCTAATAATAACTATTAGTAGCTAAAAACCTATTAACATAATATATATTTATTAGAAAAAATATTTAATACATACCCATTTTATCCAACATTTAAATAACAACTTCACAAGAAGAATATTATCTACTTAGATTAACTTATCTCTTAATTTGTAATACAAGCAAATTTGCTTACGTCTACTTTTAATTTTTGTAATTTTTAAAATAAAACTTTAAATATTAATTTTAAATATATACTTTTTAAGTAAATTATATTTTTTAATATTTATTTTGACAACTTTGTTA